ATATAAGTATAAGGCTCACCGGGCTATAAGCCACTGATATCGACTGAACAGTTCCCCACTAAACCTGTAGGGGGAGCTCTACATATGACTTCTAGAGTCAGGACGAAGATAAATGCTAGCTCCAGCGTTACCTTGTTTGCTTGCAGGAGTCAGAGCTTAAAAATGAGGCTTAATCAGCTCTTAATTTCAGCTCTGCAGGAGCCTCTTCATTGGTTCGACGTCTTTAATGCAACAAATAAATTTCCAAATGTGTGAATTTGGGACATTTGTTCAAATTTTGATCTACAAATCTACAGAAAAGCCACACCTTCGTATAACTGCATGGTTAAAAGCATGGCGGCTTATAGTCCGGAATTTACGAAGTTTTCTGTATTTAAGCGTATTTGATTTAAGACTGTTAACCAGCATAATGCTTTAATCCTGACATTAAAAAAAGAGTTAAACAAGCTTTATTCTGTTCACCGGTCATTTTCTTCTCTACTGTGTTTGATCGTCTCTCTACTCTGTAAAACCATCTTTTCTTTTTCTCATGCTTTAGTTTGCCATCTTTTTCACATTTTCTTCTTTATGGAGCCTTTATAATTTCCCTTTGACCGATCTTCTGTACACATTCCAAATAAAAGGTGTCTGGTTGTTGCCCTGTTTTGCACAGTAAACCAGTCTTTCTATTCTGTTTTATTATAAAATCAATCCCCAATCTTTTTTTTCTTACCTCCTGTTAGTTTACTTAGCTTCAGGACCCATACATGTTCAGTAAACACTTTGAAAGAGAAAGCTGTGAGGAGAAAAGCTCATAGAAATGACTGGAAAATTAATCAATATAAAAGTCCTATTCCAAAAAAATGTTATTTACTGCTGCATCCAAGATTGATTTTTATCCCTTAATCCTATCATACTGTTAGAAATCTGTAAATACTTTTTTTTAATATGTCATACTTTTGAAAACCAACTTTTAAAATCATGGAGAAATCTAATCTGATAATAATTATGTGTATGCAGTGTAATGTAAATCCCTTATTGTCCCACAATGGGACCATCTGCCATTGTGCGGCGCCCAGGGAGCAGTGTGGAGTTTAAGGGTCTTGCTCAGGAAACCAGAGTGGAGGCTTTGGGACGAGGTACTTGTGACCTTCTCAGAGCACAAGCGCACTGCTCTAAGCACTAGGCCACTTTGCTGAGAAAGGAAGATTTTCATCATTTGCAACAGAAAGAGCTCCAACATTCCTCAGAGTGGTGCCTCTACAAGCTTTAAATAACTGTCAGAATTTAAATCAAAAGACTAATTTCTGAGAAATTTTTTAAAAGTTTCAAATTACATTTAGTTTATTCAGTTGTTAGAAACCTGAAGTTCTCCTGGTTTTACCCTTTAAAGGGCACATGTGTTACTGGAGTTCAGGACAAGACCTTATTACCTTTGTAATATTCAAATGACATGGATATTTTGAAGGCAAAAATTAATATCAATTTCATAATGAGAAACGCAAACTTGCATGAATATATTAAGAATAATAATAAAAGTGCTCCTATAAGAAATTCAATTTCTTTTTTTTTTTTTGGTACAACATAATCTTAGAGGCATTAATGCTGATACTGGCACATACATTTTTTAGTTTATAGACCTAAATATTATTTTTAACTAGGCTTATTAACTTTTTAACTTTTCAATTAGCTTTTTACCTTTTTTTCAACTTACAGTAGGTAATAAATGGTCAAATGCCAAAATAAGATGTGCAGCCATGTAGCAGTATCAAAAATAAAGAAAAAAAAGCCATGTAGCAGTATCTTTGCTGCTTTTTCCATTTGTAAGGGGTATGCAAGTGATCAAAACGTAAGTTGCTCTTTAAAGAATTAAAGTTGAATCAACGTATTTATTTCTCCTCCACACCAGGAGGGGGCGCTGCACATACAGGAACAACCGGAAGCAGATCCTGTTCGATTAAACTAACTGCTGCTGCTGCTGCTCGGCGACCGGGGATTGATTAATTCGACTGAGTGGCGTGTGCTTAAGCTCGTGTCGTTAGCTTGGCTCATAAACATCAATAATTCAAGTTAATTTGATTATTTTTTTTTTTGTGTTTCGTTAGTTTAGAGTAATTATAATAATTTTGTCTCCCGAGCGCGCTTTAAAGATGGCTGGTGACTCCGTGAGATTGTCTAAAAACCTGCTAAGGATGAAGGTAAGAGTTAGCATTTATCTATACATAAATTCTCACCATACACAGTGGCATGTTTCACATTACAGATTGTACATATTAATATACAGATTTTATGACACATCGTCCAGTTTTATGTCAAAAGCGACGTAATATTTTGGGTTTATGCCACGTTTAAATTTTTTAGCAAAGAGCTGAGTGAAAGAAAAAACTTACTTTAAAAAAACTTAGCTCATAATTTCTTATATGCAGACTCGATCTATTTTAAAGTCACTGTATTAGCTGTCTTTATCAGTAAAAAGTAGTGATGGTTAATGAGGCATCATGAAGCCAAACTGTATTGATACAGCCTTGAGACTGTGTCGCACAATACTGCCACCTGCTGGACATTTAAAGACACTACAGGCAGCTGATTTGACAGATTGAACTGAATTNTTTTTTTGTGTTTCGTTAGTTTAGAGTAATTATAATAATTTTGTCTCCCGAGCGCGCTTTAAAGATGGCTGGTGACTCCGTGAGATTGTCTAAAAACCTGCTAAGGATGAAGGTAAGAGTTAGCATTTATCTATACATAAATTCTCACCATACACAGTGGCATGTTTCACATTACAGATTGTACATATTAATATACAGATTTTATGACACATCGTCCAGTTTTATGTCAAAAGCGACGTAATATTTTGGGTTTATGCCACGTTTAAATTTTTTAGCAAAGAGCTGAGTGAAAGAAAAAACTTACTTTAAAAAAACTTAGCTCATAATTTCTTATATGCAGACTCGATCTATTTTAAAGTCACTGTATTAGCTGTCTTTATCAGTAAAAAGTAGTGATGGTTAATGAGGCATCATGAAGCCAAACTGTATTGATACAGCCTTGAGACTGTGTCGCACAATACTGCCACCTGCTGGACATTTAAAGACACTACAGGCAGCTGATTTGACAGATTGAACTGAATTGATTTGATGACCTAATATGATGATATAATTAAAATATTGTAGGTTATATTGTATTATTTCATTTCTGTTTAAATTGAAAATTTATTTGATATTTTTTAAATGCAGCCAATAAATAATGTAAACATATATCATAACGTGAAAATGTAAGGGAAAATGTGAATGAGGATGCTTGTGGACAAGGATTTCTAATCCAATTTTTAAAACAATAAGTACAGTAAAAACAGCAAATAAACTAAGAGTCAATTTTAAATGAATTTTCCCCCCAACAATATTTTTTACAGCTGTATCTGTCTTATAACCAATATCAACAACAACAGAACGCCCACTTAGACACATATTTGCATCAATTCCTTTAAGTATACAGAAGATGACAGACCATCTCTGAGGCTCCCTTGATTAATCTTATGCTCCAAGGTTAATCTTGTGTTTAGCTGGCTTCTTCATCTTGAGACAAGTTCACTCCTTCAACAAAATTCCAGAAGGGTCTCCAAATGTTTTTCTTTTTAATAATTTGCTTTTCCCTTTTTGGAGGCGTGTTATGCGTTCCAGGGGTAAAGTCTTCAGCCATTGTTTGATACCTGCTCCTGTTGTTTTCTTGCAGAATTGTGCCATCAGTCTTTTAGCTTGTAGTAGGCACATATCAATCAATAATTGTTCACATGTGGTAAACAAATATTTTTTTGGATACAAACCTAAATTTAGGAAAACCGGATCTAGTGCAACATCTTTAGAGAGAAGATGTTCTATAGTTTGTTTTATTGCTCCAAAATTTTTGCATTTTCCTGTATTCCCAGATAAAATGAAACAAAGTCCCCTTTTCATATAAACATTTTGTACACATATCTAGTATGTTAGGATTATAGCCATTTAAATTGACTGGTGCAATATAGATTCGCGTTAACCTTTTGTATTGCAGGAACCTTCAGTATGAGTTAACTGTATTCATACTGTCTTTTAGATGAGATTTTGGGGGCTTGGATATATATATATATATTTTTTCTCTAATGTAGCTACTGAGCTGAAGATAAAATCAATTTCTATTTAAATAAAATTTTTGCCTGGATTCCTCAAAAGACATCATATAAGTTGAATTTGCTTGATATAAATCCTGAATTTGATCTATTCCCTTTGTTTAAATACAGAGTCTGATCTTCCAGGAGTAAAATCTTGGTTTCCCCATAAATTTGAAATTAACTTTTATTCAGATAAGTTGAGTGATAACTGAGAGGAAAAGGATGACACAACGAGAAAATGATAATAAAAATGCAACCGCTGAAACGTTCCTATTCCTTTTACGCTGCTCTTGACATTTATTTATTTTTTTAAGCAGATGCCTTATGTTGACAGATACGTCTTTAAATACAGTTTAGTGAGTCAGTCGGTTAAAAAGACCTCCTGTATCTGTCACATGACTTTCTAGAAATGTCACGCATGCCTATACAGTGTTTTGCTCTACGGGCTCGACGCATCGGCGTTGGTGCATCATCACTAGTAAAAAGCCAATCAGTGACCATCTGTGCAAAGGAGGACAGTTAATAACCATGTTTGGAGGACTGACTCACAATCAGGGTGTGATTGTTAGGATTCCACGAGCAAATAAAAACTGATGATTATTTGAAAATAAATGTTAACATAAATATTTCTGACACGTGGCCTGAATTAAAACACAAAACAGTTCAGAACCTGTGATATTGATCAGATATATTCAGATTCTGACATCCAGAGTATTAACCTGAGATCCATCCTACTGAACGGCAGCCAGAGGATGCAGCTTTAACTGGTTCTTTAGTAAATGAATTCAGGTTCCACAGGTTTTAGGGATCATAAATGTTTTATCTGAGACTTTATTCCGGGCATTTTGCACTAACAGATGTCTCTCTCTCTCTGTTCCCCAGTTCATGCAAAGAGGGTTGGATGCTGAGACAAAGAAGCAGCTGGAAGAGGATGAGAAAAGGATCATCAGCGACGAGCATTGGTACCTGGATCTGCCGGAGCTCAAAGCCAAAGAGTATGTTTCAGCTGCTGATCTGGAATCAGCTGCTGATCTGGAATCAGCTGCTGATCTGGAATCAGCTGCTGATCTGGAATCAGCTGCTGATCTGGAATCAGCTCCTGGTTGTTATTGTTTGATTGAATATCATCAATGAATTTGGATAAACAAACTTCAGGCTGGTTTTAACTCTGTGTTCAGATGGTCAAGCTGACATAGAAAGGAACTTTAATGGATGTGATTAACAGCTTTTACAGCATCCAGAGGTCACATCTTCATTCAGATATGAGTTTTAATAATTAAATGATCTGAGGTTATATATTAAAACTAATTAGTTTCTATAAAATCTGTCTTACTACAGATGAAGATGGAGGTTCAACTCAACGCTCAGCCTGTTAAGGTTTCTGTGGCACTTTAGTGACCTCTAGTGGTCAGATTAGATTTGCCCTATTCTGACAGGATCAGTTTTAAATTGGGGCCACATCAGATTTGTACGGAGCCCCTCTGATGACATGGACAAAAAAAAATGTTTAATTGTAGCCACGAAGTAGTATTTCGCGGCCTTTTCCACCTAAAATGGCGTCTTAGCAACAAATGTCACATGACTGGCGGAGACCGACTGCCTTCTCTAAGGTCTAAGGCGCGCGCGATTTGCGATTTTCGTGCGCACGTTAAACTTATTGCGTGGCCGCGAAGTAGTATTTCGCGGCCACGCAATAAGTTTA